ATGCTCGAAGGCTGTCCTTGGATGGTTTGGTTTCAGAAGAAAAGGGAAAATACTACTCTGATTCATCTAAGAACAATTTAAGGCTGTCTCACTCATGGGCTGGGGAAAGATATCTGGGGGTCAAAGAATGTGGGGGGATAGTGTTCCTGGGGAAGGACTGTCTGTCGTGAGGTGCAATGGGGCCTTCTCTCGGTCCCACTTCCCACAGCAGTTGTTTTTTGGGGGAAAACGGGAACAGAGAGTATGCTGCTAGCCTCAGGTTTACAGGAATATAAATTGAATGAACAAGTGAATAAATGAATTCAGACTAAGAATATCTTCAGCCTGCCTGGAATGTACATATAAAATTGATAAGAATGATCACTTTTCTGGATATGTGTGTATTGTGACTTCTGTGCCACACAATTCCCAAAGACTCTGAACAGCTTACATCTACTAATAAAGAAAGGATTAAAAACAGCGATGTGCTGAAGCTGGCTTGTACTGGCTTGTGAGGACTGATTGTTAAATTTTTCTGGAAATTTTCTGGAATTCTGTGAGCCAATGGAGAGCAGAGCTGAGCCCTGATGCCTAGCGCACCAATCAGCTGTTTGGTGGGTAGCGGTGCAGCCCAGCCGTGGCAATGGAGCCCGTGGTTAAACATTTACCGCTGGTTAAAAACAACAAACTTCAGTTTGATGCACCACCAAACGAGTATCTCTTTTCCACTACGGTTTCTTGTTTGTGTTTCAGAAGGAAAACCAGACATCGATCTATGAGATTCAAAAACATATTTGTTTGGACCCTTCTGAAATATCAAGGATGAATCTTAAGAGGAGATTTGCAAGGAAAACTGACTATCCTATGCCATCCTCAACATCCTGGCTAGGGAAGATTTTACATTCACATTGGATAGGAGCCCCTTTGAAATAACGCTGATTTGAACTGCACATATGTTGCAGTAATCTGCAGGGGATCCAAAAGTCTCACAGGTGCTTAACATTCTAGCTGTAAATTGCTCCAGTAACATCTAGTTTTATTCCTTTGTTTAGGGAAATAACTACAATTTTGGTATTTGTTAAACATCACCAGAGAACACCGTCCTTGCTTGTGGAAGCAGCAGATACGTGAGTTCATATCCACTCATCTGGAATAGCGACCTGCTTTTATTCCACATTTCAGAGTCACAAATGAATGAAATAGAACAGTCTTCTCCAGTTTCGCTGGGCCCAATTATCACCCCTAAGGATACCTGGCGATTAGTAGTGATTTGTAGCATCTTATACAGCTTTTCCTGATGGCTGCATTTAAAGTGCTATCCTTCGGTTCCTGAGCTGGTAAAAAGGATGCCAGCGTCAATTTTATTGCCCCTATTCTAACAAGGCTGACCTTATCATCTTGGCCAAAAAAGTTAAGGAAAGGATTTTTCCCAGCTATTTTCCCTCTCCCATCTCCTAGCAGGAAAACAAGGACATTCTCCTTAACCCAGGACGGAGTGGGGCTGGGCAAGTGTGGGCAGTTGCTCAAAACAAGAGACTGAGTTACCTGTCAGGTTGCTCAACCAGCAGATCATGAGTATAGAGGGGTGCACAGGATGAAGTGGGTAGGATGCCCCCAATATTCCTGCTTAGCAAGATCCTTCCTCCGTGCCTGTGATCCATCAGGCTCTTTCTGAACACAAGTATAGTGCTGTTCTGAAAGGGCACTAAACCTGTGTCTAAACATAGCCCAGCTAATGAATCACAGGCACAAAGGAGAATGAGTTGAGGGGGAAGACATGATGATTTCTCTCCTGCATGGGAAGGGCAACAAGTGATCCAGGTGTCCGGTGAGGAAAAGCTCTATCTTCCAACCATCTTGGGCTGAGTTGGTAATAATGAGCTATGGAATTCTATGAAAGAGTATCCTCCCCTTTCCGAATATCTTTGCCACTGAATAGCGTCAGGGATTCTTGTGGAACTACTGATATATACAGGGTGAGTGAACAAATAACACCAGCGTCTGGTGCCTGTTTCTTTTATTTCGTAAACAACGTCATGGGCCAGTGTAAAAATGTAATTGCCCTTCTAGACTCACTAACTGGTTACACCACTTTGAACTTGCAGTAACTGCAATAAAACACTTCCTGGAGTGGGTGATCTGCCCCTCATTTTGCTGGGGAGGAATTCTGGCCCATTACTTCACGGCAAACTACTTCAACTCAAGAGTGTTTGAGGGTTTTCTAGCACGAACGGTTCATTTCAGGTCCCACCACAAAATTGCTACAGGGTCTGTCATCCAGAACATTAGAGTTGTTCTTCTTCGCCTAGTCTTGTCAGACTTCACACCTGGGATTGGTAGTAAATCTCAGTTTCTCCAAACACTTAACTCTTCATTCAGCACTCAGCTTTACTTGGCTGGAGATTCATACATGGGAGGACTAGGTCAGAAGATTTACTGCAGGTAAGAATGAATCCTTAAATGCAAGAGTTGATTTGCCCACTACAAAACAAGGAAGTCAGAGCATTTGTATCAAGTTTATGCTCTGGTATTTAAATGCTAGGCTTTTTCCTCCTGCCTGAGTTAGCAGATACTTGACTGGTTTTTTTTTTTGCTGACCTTGGGAGGCAGCTAATAAAAGTTTATGTGATGGCTCTCTCCAGCCTGGAAATTACTGGTTCCAGTCTCAATAGCCCTTATACCTTGTAGACTTGCATGTTTGGAATTACTGTCTTGTTGCTTCAGCTAATGGCCTGATACCCTCCCATTGAAATCTGTGATACAAAGCATTTTACTTCAATGGTGGTAAGTCATCCAGGTTCTGAGACAACAGCAAAGCACTCAAAACCATAACACTTAATACTCCTATTCTTGATAGTTGTTATTAGGTATTTATTGGAGAATGCAGTGCAGGTAGTCCTCGCTTAACAACCATTTAACGATGGTTCAAAGTCACGATGGCCTCAGAAAAAGTGCTTTACAACCTATACTCGCACTTATGACTGTTGCAAACCTTTGCACCACCCTCCGCAGTCACATGATCACGATTTGCAACCTTTTTTACGACAGTCGTTAAGCGAATTGCCATGGTCAGTAAGTGAATCACATGGTTGTTAAGTGAATTCCAGCAAAAATATCCATGGGGAAGCTGGATTCACTTAACAATCATGTGATTTGCTTCATGACTGCGTGCTTTGCTTAATGACCATTGTAAAAATGGTAGTAAAATTGGGTCCAGTCACGTGGTAGTCCTCGCTTAATGACCACCCCACTTAACTAATTTTCCAGTCTTTATTGTGGTCGTTAAGTGAGGACTACTTGTATTTAGTTCCCATCAGACAAACTTACCCATGTGGCTAGTAGTCTGCTTGCGGGTAGCTCAAGAGAGCTGATGTGAAATTTTCTGGAATTTTGTGAGCTGGTTGAGAGCAAGCTGAGCCACTAGTGCACCCATCGGCTGTTCAGTGGCTAGTGGTGTGGCAGCAGCAATGGAACTGGCAGAGCCAGTTGTTAAACATTACCAGCACACCACTGCATGTGGCCCAAAAAGTTCAATTTTTGGCTCCTCTATCCATGGAACATTCCTCCAGCAATCTAGAAGGTCATCCAGGTGCTTTGTACAAACTTCAGGCCAACCTTGATGTTCTTAGTGAGCAATGGCTTCTACCTTGCTCCTCTCTGTTGAATCTCATCTTTATCCAGGACATTTCTGATTGTGGAGTCACGAACACTGTTTTTGCAAAGATGAGAGAGACCTGCAGATCCCTGGATGTCTTCCTTGGTTTCTCTGTGACCTCCTGGACAATTTAATGCTGCACTCTTGGGATGATTTTGACAGGACAATCACTCTTGGAAAGATTTGCTATCAGCTCAAATCTTCTCCTTTTCAAGACTGTCTCTGACTGGGGATTGGTATAGTCTAAGAGCATTCAGAAGATTTTTTTATTTTTTTTCCAAATTGAGAAGCATCAGTTGCTTTTTTTTACAGAGGCCTTCAGCATTTTCTTTGGAATGGGGCAAAAAAGGCACCTTAGACTCTGAGTGGCAAGAATTTCACTGTAATGCAGGGAGCCCAAGTCTGTGAGATTTATCTAGGGCAGGGCTGGTTAGATCAACCCTAATTGTTTGAAGACGTACTTACACAACTGGCCCTCGCTATCCTTCTGATTGTATTGTGTGTTGGATTACTTTCCTTATGAAACAAACAACAAATGGTATTATTGGTAGAATCTACATGAAGGCCTGGTAATATTTAGTGGCAAAAGTTTGCAACATTTCAGAAAATCCAAAAGGAGGCGAATAGTTTCGCACAGAACTGCGTGCCACCACGGGGATGGCAAGATGATGCTGGAAGATTGTATGAATCATTGAAGAACTGGCCGCAGAAGGACGCTGTGAGCACACGAGTGACCACTTCTATCACCAGCCCTCCAAATATGGCAGTCCCCAACACGGTAAGAGAGCAAGCAAAGAAGCAAAGCCGCCTACTCGCTCTGCTCCAGATCATACACTCCACTATGCCATAGTTTGCTTAACCATGGTTTGTTGAATAACCAGAATTGGCTGATTTACACTTTGTGTTAAGCCGTAAGCATGCAAACCACCAAAAAATAGCCATAAGCATTATCAGTCTCTGCTTCCAGGCAGCCCTGTGGGGCAAAGTGTCTTTCAGAGGGTCCAGAAATCCCTTCCCTCATTGTACAGATGTTTCTCCATCTTAGAAACAGCAGCAGAACCCAGAGGAGGAAAGAGCCGGGAAATATTTTCCTGGCCACCCAAAGGCAGCAGGAGATGTCGTGGATTGTTGGATTCTCTCTCCTCCCCAACGGGCTCCTTCCCCTTCAAATAAACGAGGCAGCCTTTCCTGTCCCTTAGCGCAAAGCAAGGGGTCGGCCCGCGAGCAGAGGAGCACGCCAAGAAAGGAGCGAGCGGGGGGGCGGGGGGGCGCCCCAGCGGGGAAGAGCCCGGCCGGGAGCGACAGCTGGGCGTGGCGTCACCGGGGGGGCGGGCCGAGGTCGCTTTCCCAACCCCGTAGGCTTCGCTGGGATTCTGGTCGTTGCTCCGGGAAGGGGTCGCTAGAGTTGCGTTTCTTCGCTTTCGGTTCGCCAGAGCTCTGCTCGTTTGTCACCCCGGGGGTCCAGGGGGCCGAGATGTCCTCCGTGCAGGTTCTTTACCCTCCCAAGATTCATCACAGCATGGTTAACCCGGGGTGCCTCAAAGATGATCCGGCTCAGGGTAAGCGTCCAAGGAGAGAGCGGAGGGAAGGGAAACCGAGGGGGCTGGGGGTCGCTCGCTTGGGGGATATTTTGCAAGCCCCAGCAGTTCTGGCTATGCACAAATGTAGGCGTATGGGTTACTTCTTCGTCCGAGTGCAAACTGCTATCTCGAGCTCAGGGGCCAGGGGCAGGCTCGATCCTGCGGGTAGGCGACGCTTCACCACCACTTTCGTCTGCGAGTGCCTTCAAATTGTCCATTGGTTATGGGATTCTGGCCTTCTACCAAAAGTTCTGCGTGCCCAAGGGGGCTTATCGGATCTGCACGGCGACCTTGTATTGGCTTTCTAGTAGTTTAGCTGTCACGATTTCCCCCCCCCCCCGAGAATCTTGGGACGTGTAGTTTGTCGAGGAGGGCTGACCTTTTCTAAACCCTCTGCTTCACTCCCACCCCAAGTGAACTACAGTTCCCAAGGTTCCGTGGGGAGAGGGGATGACTCTTAAACCCATGTGGATGTATGTCTACAGACTCCTAACAGAGCGCTTCAGATCGGAGACTGGTGACATTAGAGGTGTATATAGGTCATCGCCACAGTGGAAGACGGCAGCCTTGGTAGCCAAGGCTGGGCATTCTGGCAGCTGTGGTCTCAACACAATTTGAGACCACCAAGTTGGGGAAGACTGGCTGGATTATACTGATTTACCCTGCAAACTATATTTATGCCTGGATGTGGTACATTTTAATAGCTTTTTTCCCCCTTGACTGGAGGAAGGGATACCATTCTTGACAAAGTTTGAAGACCAGCACTGAGATATTTCCATCATGTTGCTTGTTGCCAAGTGTAAAGAAGACGATGGTGTTCCAGCTCAGGGCTGACTCCTGTCAGCAGCTGCAAGCTTTGCAAGCTTTGCAACTACTTCCTTTGGAACTTATAGTTGACTTTCTCTGAACTAGTATTGGACTACAATTGACATCACTCAAAGCCAGCATGACATCAGCACTGGCTGAGGAGGATGGGAGTTGTGATCCCGCTAATTGGCCATTAGGCAGGTTCCTGCCACCTCCAGCTTAAGTCTGGATTGGGCTTGGTTAAAATATATGCAAGTGCCAGGGTTTCACTGAGGCTCAGTGAGTTCAATGCCCAGAGCAGAAGTCTACACTGTAGTGCCTACATGCACTTCAGACCCTCTCTGTGCTTGGGATCCTGTTCCAATTTGTTTTTTAATCTTTTAGTTGTTTAAAATGAAACAGGAACCTGGCATGCAGCAATGCAAATACCAGTCTGTACCATCAGATTTATTTGCAGCAATGCCTTTGGACTCTACAAATGCCCCACTGGAGAACCTCCTTGGGAACTGGTTCTCCTTGTTAACTGCATGTTTTGTAACTGGCCAAGTCCATCATGGCAGTGATTTTGTGAACAGGCAAGTATGCCACGGTGGCTATTTTGTGAATGCTTCCAAAAGATATCCTTGACCTAGAAAAAGTGCCTATCCTTCCATTAGGGGGTACATTTATGCCCAGCAGTTGCAAAAAGAATTAACAATTTACTGGGATGGATAGGCAGACTTTTCACTGTTCTTAACCATGGGCAATATGGAGCAAAATCAAAACCTGCCCCTTTTGCATAAGTGTGCAACATAACTATATTTCCAAAAGGGACGGGGCTTCAGTCATGATACCAAGACGTAGACTTTGCCCTTTTCCACCCCCCATGGGTGCCACTGTTGCCACCTGTTTGTATTTGTTTATAAATAGCTGTCCTTAAAAAATGAATTCTTCTCCTTTAAAGCAATCTGTGTCGTCACTGTGATAGGACTTTGGCGCTAGATGAGCATACGGGCTCTACAGATCTAGCTAGGGTGGCTTGAAGTACATAAAATAATATGCATTACCAGATAAAGAGCTATTCACCACAGAGGAAGAAAGATAATTAAGCCAAAGAGACACTGGCTTTGTCACTCTAAAGTCCAGAGTCCACTGGAGTTGGGTGGCCAATAAATTTGAATAAATAAACAAATAATGCATTACATCATAGTTGTATATTAACAGGGGTATTTTACAGGGGCTACATTCACACAACCCAGTATACCATCATGTTTTTTTTTTTTAGTTTTGCTTAGCATAAAATATGGATCCTGCCACTGTTTAAGTTTCAACATTAGGCTACTGGCTTAATACCTGTATGAACCCAGACATCATCTCAATAATTCTGATAAAAATTCTATATATTAAATTGCAATAATTATTTTCCCATTGAAGGGGAAGTAGAGTTTAAATACAGTGCCTGATCTAAATCCACCTAGCCAGATGACACCAAAGACAGAAATTTGCTTCTGCGCTTCTTTTGATGTTTCCAGCTTATATGTTCATATTTGTGAATAAAGCAAACAAATGTCTTTACTAGATTCCCTTGACTGACAGAGAAAGCTTGCTGGAAACAAATCTTGTTCTATTTTTACCCTCTTGCAAACCTGTCAGGGTAAAAAAATAATTTTGTTTGCATTATTTTTTTCAGTGGCCCTTCTAAATTTATGTGTCACTGAAAAACATACAGTGCTCTAATGTAGCAACACATTTTCAGTCAAGGTTGCTCTCATGTCCTTGTGACAAAATTGTTCCTTCTCCACTCTATAATATCCTTTCTAAATGACCTTTTAGGATCTACCTTTGATCACTGGGATGACGTAGAGCTAGCCAGTACTTTGGCCTCACAGCAGCGTCTCATATGGTAATTATGTCCTCTCCCCCACCATTTCCCAACAACATAGGATCTCCCACAAAGTACACAGTAAATAAAAATGTCTCTGTCTCTTTGCCCACAAGGCAGAAAAACAGCATGTTCCTCCACATCCATTGTGCAAGATCCTGTCCAGACTCCCACCACAATCACTGCTACAATTTCTCTCTCAGGTTGAACAAACATTCCTACTTCAGCCTAACCTCTTGATGATGTCATTTATAGCTGGAGCTCCCTGATTTAAGGGCAACTCCTGCATTCCTACAGACTTTAACTATGTCTGTCAGCAAAGTTGATAGCTTTGGCCTTATCTTTGTAGCATTGAAGGAAAGTGAAACTGAATTGGCAGACTCTGCTGAGGGAGATAGAAAAAGTGATGTTGTCTGCTCAGTCTTCTGGTATCTGGATTAGATTGTTGAGGGAGAGGTTTCATCTGCTCAGCAATAAAATGCTTTTAAATTCAGTGTCTCACACTTCACTGCATCAACAACTTATTTGTTAGCAGTTTCTTCAATTGATTCATTTTAAAGATACTGTATGTAAGGGCTTGAAACTGTAAGCATGACTGCCAAGTTAAATTGTGCCACAATTTTCCAGGTTCAACCTGCTTCTGTCACATATATTGTATACCGAAACTTATGTTGTTTCAGTAGGAATAAAATACATTAGAAAACTTTGAAAAGATGAGGCAGCAAACTGCTGTGTGAAAAACAGGCATGCACACACACTGAGAGAGTGAGTTTGCATTTCCCTTGTTTTTCTCTACTTTTGGCCTTGGGGGATCAGAAATATACTAACCCTATTCAACATAATAAATAAAGGCAATAGTTGATTAAAGGGCCTGTATCCTTAGAAAACTGAAATTTCAGAGTAACCAACTGCACCTTCGTTTACACCATACTTGAATTAGCAGCTGTTCTTTCTCATTTGGATGTATGAAAGGATCCTTTTTGTATGCCTGTTTGCCAGATCCAGACCTTGACCCGCCTGCCGGCGCTATTTGTTAGTAAAGCTTGCACCAAACAGGAAAGATTCAGTCAGCAGTAGCTTGTTCTAACACCGCTTTGGGGAAGGGGCCGCCTAGAGAGACTCAAGGTCTCAGTCAGACCATTTAAGCGATATGCCTAATCCGTGGGCTAACTAACGCATACCTGCATTTTATGTTTGCAAGGAAAAAAATGTGTGGGGAGCAGGGAGGCCTTGCGGTCCTGTTTCATATAATCTAAACAGGCTGTCTGGAATGGGCAAGGTAAGCAAAAAGGCGTAGGTGCGCTTTCTAGTTAGTGCGTTCGTCTGAACGAGGAGCAGGAATCACAAATCCACCGCGACTGAACACTTTCCCAGACTTCGCCGCTCGACCCTCGCGTGTTTTTCCTAGTCGGTATTTGCGAAGAAAAGACTGAGCTTTTAACTAGAGGGAACGAGGAAAGGTACAGAATCCAAAAGAGGGTGCGGGGCTGGTGCGGAGACTTCGCATTCGGCGAATAAACCACTTTCTCCTCCGCAGCGCCCAACTCCGACACTTCTCCGCCAGCCGCTCCCACGTGGATAAACAAGCAGCGGGGTTGGGGAGAGTTCTCGCGCGCC